GAAAAAATGCCTCGCCAGAGTGGAAAAGATAATTTATTGAATGCGTTATGCTTTAAGAGTTTGATGGACGTAATAGTTCAAGATTCGAGTAAGTTAATTTTACAATTTTACAAGCGATCTCCTAAACCTTTGATTTGCAGGCAGTGAAGATGAGGATGATGATGTCCTCATTGACTTCACTCTTACCTCAGCACTTGTGTTATCATCGCGAAGAAGTTGCCATTTTAATGTCCCAAAATCCGTGCAATGGCGAGAAAATGTTCTTCCTAACTTCGATGACAGCCGTATGCGTCAAATGCTGCGTGTTGAACCGATCGAATTCGAGCACATTTTAACCTTAATTAAAGAAGATCCCGTCTTCAAGAATAAAAAGTTGGTCCCGCAATTGCCAGTTGATTTGCAACTAAAGATTACACTCTTCCGTCTGGGCTCCAGTGGAGACAATGCATCCCTCCGGAAGGTTGCAACTTTGTTTGGCGTTGGCGATGCAGGAACGATAATAAAAGTCACACAACGAGTTGTTGCCTCTATCGTAAACTTAAAATCAAAGTTTTTATTTTGGCCATCTGCAAGAATGCGAAAAAAATTGTTGCAAATACAATGCTTGAGCTGCCGGGGTGCATCGGCTACATCGACGGCACCGAAATCAAGTTGGCAGAATCTCCTATAAAGGACCACGAGTTCTACTTTTCTCGCAAAAAGCAGTATTCGATGAAAATGCAAATAGTGTGCGACTATTCCCTAAAAATTCGACAAGCGACCATTGGCTACAGAGGAAGTGTCCATGATGCTAAAATATTTGCGGAGTCTTCTATTGGACGAACGCCAGAAACTTTCTTTTGCGAAAGGCAATGGATAGCCGGAGACTCTGCGTATCCCTTAACCCGAAATGTTATTACTCCTTTTCGACAAAATAGCACCGAACTAACCCAAGAAAAAAGAGAAAAATTTAACAAGTATTTTTCGAAATTCAGAGTGCGAGTGGAGAATTGTTTTGGTAAGCTTAAGGAGAGGTTTAGTAGTTTAAAAGAGCTCCGGTTCCGGCTTACCGATGAAAAAAATTACAAAGCTTGCTGCAGATGGATATTAGCCTGCTGCATTTTGCATAATATTTTACAAGAACTAAACTCAACAAAAGACGACTCTGAAGAAGAATGTACCTACCCAGAAGATGTGTATAACTACAACGATTTAAGAACTGCTTTAACCGAGTTGATAAACAATAAACACTAAACAAGTACAAAGAACGCATTTTTATTTGTAAAAAAAAACGTTTCACTTTTCATTTATACTTTTTCACATATGTATATATTTTTTTTCCATAATTTTTTTATATTTTTTACATTTCTTTCATTTTTATCTAATTCACATTTTTGACACTTATTTCATTTATTAGGTACATTTGTAGATTTTGTAAATCTTTTATAGCATTTGTAATTACTTCACTTTTTTTCTTTAAAATAGTTTAGTATACTTATTTCCCTCATGATGAAATTATACCAGGTGTAGTAATAAGAGCGATAAGAAAAATTTGACACTATCCTATCTGAAAATTTGCTTTTAAAAATTTCTATAAGATAGCCGAATGTCAGGCAAATAAAGCAAGAGCGCTGTTTTATTACCAAATCTATTTATAATTTCACCATGTATTTCCCTTTTTTATATTTTTCACTTTTGAATTTTTAATTTTTCAATCTCTATACGCTCCCGCATCTCTATTTCTTTCATTGCGATTTTTTCTTTCGATTCTAATTCTAATAATTTAAGTCTTTCGTAAGTAGCATGTTTCTCCTTCTTTAAATTAAATTCCTTTTCCTTCAGCAGAAGCTCCCTTTCCCTTAATTCTTTTTCCGCAACAAGCTTCTCCTTTTTGAACTCCGCCAATGTGGAATGTACTTCAAGTACATCTGCAAGTGCTGTGCGTGAATAAATCCCTTTACGTGGAACTAGTGGAGTTTGCGCTGTAGTGCGCGGAGTTTCTACCAATGTAGCGCTTTCTTCGACAATTTCATAAAACGCAGCTGGGCTTCGTGAAGTGTCTTCTGTTGGGGCGAGGACAATATTTGGTGATCCGTCATCTACTGAAGCAGTGGAATATTCCATAGTGTTGCTGTCTTCTGTATCAAGTACAAAAGCATTAGCCTGATGTTCCCTATAACCGAATATCTCTTCCAACTCATTATAGAGTGGGCACTCCCTTAGCAGCGTATCTGAAAACATGTAATCAAGAAATTATCAACAACATTTAAAACCTCTATTGTTAATATTGAAACCTACCTCGCGTTGTTTCGCCATCTCGCATAGTCCCAGCCCCGGTGGAATTGTTCCATGTCTTGTTGTAGGTATGCCTCAGATTTTTGACCTTGCTGCGCACCGTTGACCATTCTATCTCAAGCCCATTTTCGCTCAAGAAGCGCTTGTAGTAAAGCTGCGCATTTGGCTTTTCGATTGGCCTATTTTGGCGCAGAAAATTTACCAATTGCTGCTGCTCCCACTCGCTCCATTTTCGATATGGCGCTTTGCGTATACGCTTTTGCTTAACCTGCAAATAATAAAATATTTTTACATTTTTATTTAAAAATCACAAAAATTCACTTACTTTTGCTTTCAATGTTTCTGCTTCCATTTTTCGTCGCAAAATATAATCAGCTGTTTGGTGATGCCAGTTTAACACAAAAGATCAACACATGCCAAAGCAAGGCAACTTTAGCCGTAAATGGTATCTCTAGTTTGTATGCGAAACAAAAACAAACAATGATACCAGATGGCAAATTCTTTTAAAGTTAGTATATGGCAAACTTACCACACCACATAATACGAAACTGTGAGTACCCTAATTATTACTATTACGTCGGGAATACTCGCGCTGCGCCCTAAGAGGATCTATTGTGCTAAACCGTAATTGTAATCACTTCAACCTTATGGCTTGTTTTCACTATGTCAAATTCAATGGCCCTTGTCATCAAATAAGTGAAAACACATTGTCATATAGGATTAGAAAGCGGTATATCTATTGATTACGATCAGGATAGGTCTTTAGCGCTGGCCCAAGTCTTACCATGAGTAATGTGACTTCACGCATAAAGATTATGCAGTAGGGGCATAATCTGTGGTTGAAAATAACCTAATAAGGCCTACTTTGTGACAGAACCTTCTCGACGAAGTGGGGGAGCGCCTACACTCAACACAGAGTCAATAGGCGAGGGTGTTCTCTCTCCCCTGCTCTGGATGGCGGTTGTAAATGACCTTCTAGAATTGGTTTGCGGGTGATCGCCTACGTAGATGATGTGTAACTTTTGGTTAAGGGCCGATTTCTAGACACCCTTTTTGATCTGGCTCAAGGTTACCTGAGCCTGGTAGCTAAGTGGGCGATCAAAGGCGGCCTCGCAGTAAATACCAGCTAGTCGGAACTGGTCTTATTTAGCAGAAAGTACAAGATATCCGTGGTGGACCTTCCCTCGAGTGGGTAAACTTCTTCCCGAACGGATCAAAACTTGGAGACACGGTTGGTGGAGGTTTCTTCTGTCGAAAAATCTCCGTCCGTGAAGAAGTTATCCGTCCGGTTGGTGGAGGTTTTTTCAGTCGAGAAATCTCCACCAAAACTATGTTTAGGATTCCAGACTGCTGCTGTGTCTTTCAGGTGGAAATAGCTGCCATCAAGGAAGCGATAGACTCACTGTTAAACGGTGTGGTGGTGCGCTCGAAATCGGTAAAGGAATGTCTGACCTCTCTATCAATCGCGTCGGAGTACTTCTTAATGAGGCTAGTCTAGGTGGCGGGCCACAGCTACATCGAGTGACCCATCTTTACCCCTTAAAGTTGGCGAAAAACAAGTTACCTCTCAAGAGCTTGAGAAGGAGGCTACTGAAAGGCCATTGTGCGAGCGGCATTCCGGCAGTAAGACTAGGAATTCCAACTAATCCCTTTTGTATCAGCTGTCAAGAGGAATATGAGGTGGACTCTCATCTCCACACTTTCCTTCAGACTGTCCAAACTTCGCGAGGCTAAGTTGGAAGCATTTTGGCTCGCACTTCTTAACCAACACTGACCTCCCAGCGATCGAAATGAGACGCATTCGAAATTTCGTAACATTCGAGAGATGTGAGTTCTAATTGAGCCTTTTGTCCAGAGTAACCCCTAGATACTTCGCCTCTTCTGATAACACAATTTCTGTACCTGCCAAGGTGGCTAATGTCAAGTTGACTTTCTTTCTTTTGATTAAAGGGACAATGTGTGGCAACACTGAGTCGAAGTTTGGCGCTCGCGCGCTCGTGTGGCGCTCACTACTCGTATCCGCAATGACAGCAACGGCAACAGCAGCAACATAAAAGTCAGCAACAGAGCGAAGTGCAACAGCGCTGCGTCACAATTTGCTGCTGGTAGCTGGATGATGGGCGACAATATGCTGTTGCATGCAGCAACTGTGATGCAACGAGTGGCGTTCATGAGGCAAGAATGAATTCTACAGGCATACATACACACATACACACACATATGTATGAACGCGTGTGCAGTGCCATTGAAATGCATTAAAAGCTGCCTGTCAGTGTGGCATTCCATTTAAGTATTTTCACTTTTTTTTTGAATTTTTGTTGGCTACGCTCGGTTTGTCGTTTTAAGGACGCCAGTGCCATACAACTATGGGAGGGCAAAGCTTCGTGTAATCGAGCATGATTCCATGCTAGTAATTGTGTACTTACATGCATACACACCAGCAAATGTGCTTATTTACATACATATACATATATACTACATATAGGTACGTGTATTTGATGCTCTTTGCGCTCGCGTGAAACGTATTTTGTATTGTTGGCAAACACAAATCCATATCTGAAATGTGATTTACAACAGACAAGTGTGTTGAATTCAATTAGCTGCAGGTAATTACCTGGCAAAACACGACATCGTATCAGCGATGGGAGCTGATATCAGCGTTAAAAGCGCAGTAATTGAGCGCAACATGACTGATTACATGTTTACTAGTTATTGGTGGGATTTAGAGCCTTTATAATTTACTTTTTTTTCTGATATAAAAATAAATGATTTTAGTGTAAGAAATTTTGAGATATGTAAGTTTTCTGCTAAGGTTATATACATACATTTGTTGCGATATGATGCTAAACCCTTTTTAATTTTTCCAACAAAGAAATGTTGGTGGCCGGAAAGTATCAAAAAATTTCCATCAAAAGTAGAGCTTCAGTACTACAATTTAAATAAATACTAGTGAAGGCAAAAAGTATTAAAAGGCCATCCAGGATGCCCCTGTGCGACACGCCTTAACCGACTTCAATCGGGACCAAAATTTATATGTGATATCTTCGACTATGGTAGCATCGTCGTGTAGGGGTTGAGGCTAGGGAAATATGATGTAAAAATATTTCCTTCCTACATTTAAGGACCACCCTAAGCTACATATATGTATGTACATTAGAGTGACCCAAGTTTTGTATGGTGGGAAAATGTCATCGTCGACAACGGGGCACCCTCTAAGTTTCTCGATTTTGGTATTTTTAATATCTCTACCAACTTTCAATTTTCCACTGTAACCAATACAGGGTGCTCAACGACCCTGAAATGCGCTACTGAATCCCTTTGAAACTAACAAAAATAGTGATATTTTTTTATATAAAGCTAGTGTTGCCATGACAACTAAAGCTGGTAATATTTTTTCAGCTAATTTTAATTTGAAATGGCCTTAGGTTGCTTAACCAGTTGTTTGGTTAATATATGTACAATATACTGCTAGAGTAAAATATAACAATATCATGAGCAGCCTTTAAATTTATAC